GGAGCTGGTCTTGGACAGTCCAATGGCAGAGACCAAGCTCCTCTAGCTTCTGTTCCCAAAGGTTCTCTCTAGTCTGCTCCACAAGCCCCGTTACGGGCAAGGAAACCAAGGCTGCTCAGAATCAAAGTTTTCATCAAGGTCACTCAACTGGTCGGAGCCTTTCCCAGTCTTCATTCAGGCCTGGGAGGTAACACTGGTCGCAGAAAACTCATCACTGAGGGGCCTTGGAACAGACATTTGCAGTTAGAAAATAAATAATCCAACTCCCTGGTGTCAAGGCCCATGGGACCACCCTGCCTGCCAGTGACTCAGCTCTTCTATGGGCAGTGACCTGCCATGTGCCCTGGAGCCACAGACATGTCCCACCTGGGGACTCCCCATGGCTGCACCAAGGACCATAGCCTGTGCCTAGAGCTGGAGGGAAGGGTCCTTCCCAGAGACTATTAGAGCACGCAGCCCCTGCTGCACCCCGGACACACCCAACACATTTAGAGGCATCTACCCCTGAGGGCTGGCAGAAGGGACTTTGGAACAACCACTGGAGTCTTTGCCCCAACTTCAATTTGGGGACAAGGGTACAAAGCCCCTGGGAAGCCAGCAGCCAACACCTTTGGCTAAAGAGTAGATTCACAAACAATGATTAATGGCTACGTTGTCATTCCCTAGAAACTTCTAAAGTGCCTCTTTGGCAACAGTGGGCACCCTGGATCCTATTGTCACTTATATTCTCCCATCTGCTGACCTCAGCTGTTCCCACAACTCTTGTCATCTGGGACCCCTGCTCAGGCAGCAGAGGGGGGACAGCAAGGGAGTGGGGGCACAGTGTCCCAAGGGGACCTCAGAGCGGGTGAGTGGGGGATAAACGAGGTGTGATGTGGCCATGGGATGGGGTTGTAATCAGTCATTTACCACCACGGGTTTGAGGACTCTTTGATGACATAGAAAAGCGTATGGGATCCTCTCCATTGGCACGCGCACACTGGCATGACTCTGCAGGACACATGCCAGCGTGTGCACCACCCTCGTTTCAGAGCCACGGAACTTGTTTTTCATTGCAGTTCTTTATGTTCTGCTCTGTTTTACAACCACCATGTGTATCTTACATAAGAATGAATGTAAAGAAAAGGGGATGGCTAAAACAAACGTGACCTTAGGAGTCAGACAAATCTGAGTTTAAATATCAGCTGCACAACGCGATGGTCAGATGACCTTGGACAAAATGTGCCATCCAGAGCCTGACTTTCCTCATCTGCAAACTGGTGCTCATAATAGAGATGGTCACACAAAGCCCCTCACTCGTGTTGTCAGCTGCCCTTTCATTTTTTAATATTTTTAATTGATTTTTGGAGGGAGAGAAGGGAGAGGGAGAGAGAGAAAGAAACATGGATGTGAGAGAGAAACATCAATCGACTGCCTCCTGCATGCACCCCAACCTGAGATGGA